ATTCTATAAGTTTCAAATGTCTTGAAAATCTGGGGTGTTACCCATAATCCCGTCTTACACTCACGAACTAAGCATATTGATATCAAATATCATTTTATTCGTGATCATGTCGAGAGGAAAGACATATCTCTTGAGTATGTTAACACTGATGATCAACTTGCGGACATACTCATGAAACCTTTAAGTGAAGCAAGATTCTCCTCTCTAAGGCATGAAATAGGAATGATTGAAATGACATAAAGCAACGAGAATCAAATCTGCAAAGATTCTCATTCTCGATATTCAAAAGATTCGATCCATCCTCACACGCAAAGATCTCTATAAAATGAGGTACATAACGTAATTAAGCCTTCATAACTAACAAAAATTCTAGTGTTTGTCTTTGTGTGTGCAGATATGAGTACAGGAAGCGAGAAAACAATCATTGAGGCACAAGAGGAGAAAAGCGAAATCTTCAATGATCCACTTGTGACCAAGCAAGAGTTAAACAAATTTCTTGAACATTCACAATACATACAGAGCATTCTCCGTGACCCAACGAAAAATGAGTCAAGGGAGTCATTCCACTCTGTTGGCAATCCTATAGGGTATGTCAAGGAAGACAGCGTGCTGGAACGAAGTGATAGTCTTGACTACTCACCCTCGAGCACTCCTCCTAAGATGCCATCTCCTCCCAAATCCACCGCAAGCAGCAAGAAAAAGAAGGCCTAAACAACACTATTAGGCCACAATGATAAGTTGTGGTGATGTTATCTTCAGAATGATGCGCTTCTCTAATAAACAACGTTATCTTTCCATATATTTCTGATAGCCTGACTAACACGAAACGTGAATCATTATCTAAAATATTTTAACAAGTTCTACACGCCAACGTTATGTCTATAAATTGATTTCTCTCCACATAAGTTTCACTCACACTCAGTCCCTAGAAAAAGAAAAGCTTGCAGGTATGGATGAGGGTAAAGAGAAAATGGATGAAGCCGAGATTCGAGCTATCCATCATCTTCAAGAAGCAGGCAAATTGACAAGTGCTACAATAACAAAGATAGTAGAAGATAGTGATAAGGTCCACGTAACATTCACTATGCCAAACTCAGCCACTCCAAAAGATGAAACCGAAAGAAGGGCCATTCGTTTAAACCATCATCTCCAGAAAGCAAGTTTGCCCAATGCTACCATTATCAAGCTGGAGGAAGACGGTGAAAGGGTCAATGTGACATACTCCATGCCCAACACAGCAAATCTTAAGGAAAAGGAGGCACTGGACAATATTGTCAATGAATCTCTGGCAAAGAAGGTATATTACTTGGAACAAGCCAAACGGCTTGCCAACGAAAGGATAATGACGTTGAAGAGCGCTAACAAGCACTCAACAAATCCACCTAAATTTCGTTGGTACCCCATTCCTGAAGTTCCACAAAGTGATGAGACCTACGAAGACTTCACTTTGGCTCACTCTCAGTCACCCAACAACCCAAACACGCCTACCCTCACACTTGAGGAACTAGACGAATATTCAAACAGGGCTAATCTGCCCGATGTGACTGATGAGTTTTCCCGTCTGGAACTTCACATGCCTTACCGCTTTATCTGAATATTGTTTGTCTTCTTTGTATGGTTTGGAGTACCTCTGCACGAATCTCGTTAATGAAGTTTCCAGTTTATTTGTGTCTTTACTAAATTACTCTCTTGACCTTGTTACTTTTATGTCAGATTATCTCTCTCAGGTCAAAGATGGAATTATGTCTTAGAGCATCATACATGAGTTTATTACTAATTCACACATCTTGAAATCATATCTCTGACCCTAAAATTATGACATTCTTGAAAATGTCCATTCAAAGTCTTCTACACCATTAATGGTCAGTTGAAGAAATACATGGTCATTGATTGCAGCATTGAATGCTAAGAGCAGTTTCACAACGTTATCTCTTCCAAATCTGCCTATAAAAGGGGACTATATCTCGCTTTTCTCTACCATTCTCATCTTCACAAATGGCTCCTAAAAATCCCTTCACAAGGGGAGATTCCAGTAAGCTCCGTGAACTCTCCAGGCAAATAAGAGAAGAGCAAGGAGACATGTACCCAGGCAATAGCCTTCAAACACCGTTGGAAATCTCGTCTGATACTGAAGAATCATCTCTGTGTGATGATATGGCTGGGTTCATTGTTGAAGAGCCTCAGAGAGAAGCTATTTCATCCCTCCCAAAAATCTCAGCAAGTACCATGATCCGGACTACATGGCTTATCTGAAGAAAGAGTTTGAAAATGAGGCAAAAGTTAAGGGGGAAGAACCTGAATCATCTTCGGGTTCCAACTATCCACGTACCGGAAAATGGACAAGCGTATGTGGGGAGATCTGAAAAAGGCAAAAGCTTAGCCATCTGAGGTCAAGAAAGTCGAGAGAAAGAAAAACTAATCCTTCGGATTATGTATCTTATCTTATGTATTGCTATCTCTCGTTATTTTGAATAATAAAATCTCGGTGTTTCTGTTTTTCTTAAAAGAAGTGAACGAAACTTTACTTGTCTCGTTCACATCTATCTAAGGTTATCCCGAATCAAGAACAACTCTCTTGGAAATGAATTTATTCGGGACATATCTTTTGAGACAAATGATTCTCTACTTTATGGATCCTCTTACTGATAATGAAATCCGAAAGAAGCATTGTGAAAACGCTCGAAATGAGAGGACTGGCATTTTCTTAATATTAAATCTCTCGGGAAATGCATTCTCTTAGTATGATAAGAGATTTGTTTGACTTTATTTGTCTTACAAATCTTACATTATGACAAGTTCATCCTCCTTTGGGTTCGAACCGTGCTTGATAAGCCTCATCTGCTTCTGTCTCATCTGAACCGTCAGATAATTCATCATGGGGATCGTGTGGCCGAGAAATATGGTCCACTACCCCACCATGACTGACACATGAATTGACGTGCATTAAATGCACCTACAGATACTCGAGTATTTTTCTCTCTCCGCATTAAATATGGAATGATCAAAATTTATCTGCACACGATCTTATCACTCCCCCATGCTCTGATCAGTTACCATATGAAGAAGAGGAGGCGGTTAAACTTTTGAAATTCCACTAACCCATCTTCATATGGGTTACCCATATTCAGTTACCCGGAACCAAATAAAACCCTACTTGAACTCTCTACGCATCATACCTCACCTTTTTCATTCCCTCCCAGACAAAGCTATCAAACTTACTCTCTCAGACACTCTACAATGGCAGAAAATACACAAGCTACATCTTCTGAAAAAGAACCAGAGACCCCTTCTACCCTGGAAATCCCAAGCTTTCCAACCGAAGACATGCATTTATTGAATCCAGAGTTCCATTTATTGTTGGAGGTAGCATGTGGGATGCCCATGGATTTCTCGAGTACGTGTTAGATCGAAGATTTGGCGAAGATATCATATGATTGCTCATGGAATCCGGATTGTACAAGTTCATTACACATCTCTACACCATATGGTATCCCATCGATGTAACACAGTTCTACATGAATGCATCCATATCTTCCGACTCTCTGACCATCACTTCCAGAGTCCACAATCATCAAGTGGTCCTCACTTCGGAAGACATTCGAGCCACGTACGGGTTTCCACAAAGAGATGATTCTTACAAGTCCAACCTTACGTATTACCACTATGATCCAGAAGATTTCTATGATTCTATCAAGAACAACCAAGCTCCTTCGAAGACAAAAATCACGTGGCCATTAAAGAAGAAGTGGTTTCGGCTGAATTATGAATTTATCGTTGACATCTTCAACAAGGTTGTTGATCATAAGACTTCAGGCACCGATGATGTGACAAAGGAGAAACTAAAGATGCTGCATGCCTTTCTTAATGAACTTAAGGTTGACTGGTCGAAGATCATTTTCAACAATCTTGTTCACACCATCACCTACCACAGGAAGAGTCCAGGAGACATCGCCAAGAAACTAGGGTATGGTTTCATGGTAAGCCATCTTCTTGTCACTAAAGGAGTTTTAATGCGACCAGGCATTCGGCCAGGATCGAAAGCTTGCCATATGAAGCAGAAACCATCTGGTTATGACAAGCAGAAAGCACTGGAACTGGGGATTCCCGTTGAGTTGGTTAAAGCCAAACGGAAGTCAAGAACGCCAAAGGCATCCGAAGATGATCAACCCAAGCCAAAATGACAAAAGAAAGAAAAACGCTCCTCTCGAGATAAGATAAAGAGAAATGATGATGATCAACCATTGCCAACACCTCCAAAATCTCCTCAAAAGAAGAAGAGTACAACCCCACCTCTAAAATCTCCACCACCGGAAATAATAGTTGTGAAAGACTCTTCCGAAGAAGACAATCTGACTCTATTAAGACTTGGCAAAAAGGGTCACTTTCGTTCTCCTGTCAAATCAAAGCATTCCCCGAAGAAAGATACTACACCGAAAGTAGTAGACGCGAGAGAAGCACCTTCTCAGGGGGAAGAGAGCATGAAAAGAGCACCTCTCCAGGGGGAAGATCAACCGAAAGTTGTCTCTCCAGACAAACTTTCTAATCATCAAGTACCAGATATTGGTCATATTTCCTCTCCAGTCCCTCATCCACAAGAACCCACTTCGGCAGAGCAACTCCCCCGAGGATTGACACAAGAACCTGCTGATGTGGAAATGGAGGTCAGTCGCTTAAGTCTTCCACAAGAACCTGGTTCGCTAGAAAAGACGAAAGAAATAACTGATGCGTTGATTGAAGTTCCGTCTCTGCCACAAGAACCTATTAATGCAGAGCAGGTAATTCTGACACAAGAACCTGCATTGGTAGACGAGACAGCTGTAGTGTCGGTAGCTAGTCCAGCTATTCCAAAAGTATCAGCACCAATTCCCAAAGCAACAGTTCCACCACCATCACGAGATTAAGTGCTCCGAGAGTCCATTGAAAGTGATTATCAACGAGTTTTGCAGTGGCAAAAGTGGCGCACAGCCCCATTAAGTATATTCATTGAAACCTTTGAAGCCATGCAAGACGAAGAACAATTTGCCCTGAAATGGATCGGAACAGATGATGTCTCCAAAGCACTTCGTCTTGAAGAAATAAGACGAGTGTTCTCCTACAAGATGACCAATCGCACTCTTGGAAAAGACAAAGCCCCACTCTGCATTGAACTCAACAAGCCACCATTGGATCCGGCAGTTGAAGAAGAACTGAAGCAACTCCGCTATGCCTTGTTGCTATCAAAAATCAAAACATCTCTAGAGAAAGACCACCAGAATGATCCAAACTGTAATGTCAGTGGCTCGAAAGATGAGCATGGACGAGAGATCAAGGACGACAAAAGTAACAGTGATGAAGAAGATGAAGACAACACTGACAATGATGCTGAGGATGCAGATGATGAGCATGATGATAATGATGATGACAATGACGATGGTGATAACATGGGCAACAACGTCGCAAGCTGAACCGAATTATGACAGCCAATCCCCCCTATTGATTGGCCCTGATTATGAAACTTTTCCACAACGATCTCCGCTTAGAAAATTGCCATCTGACAGTGATGAAACAAGGGAAGCATCACACCAAGCTCAGAAGCTTTCAAATGATCATCCCGAAGATATGTCTCGTGCAATTGTACCGCATATTCCACTCATGGACGAGACTCCGATCAAATGAGAAGAAGCAACTGAGGGAAAAATGGAAGCCTCACATATTCTCCTCAGCTCAGCAAGTGGTGACAAAAGGGAAGCACCACCTCAAGATGAACATATGGACACATCGCAAACTAACATTGAAGAAGAATCAACTCCAGAGTCCCCACGGACTATCATGAACCACATGAGAGAAACTGTTCACACAGCCGAGAACATTCATCTACAATATTTAGTTCTTCGGCAAAATGACACAAAAGTGTTAGATGACTTATACAAGAAGGTAGATCTCCTAATGGCTGCCCAATCTCAATCTCGGCCTCCACCTCCAGAACAGTCTCAACCGCCTCAACAAACTCAATCAAATCACAAGTTCCTTGAGCGTATTGCAAAGAAACTTCATGAGCTTCATACCTCCGTCAACACAGTTGCACGGCAACAACACGAACTCAAACATTCTCATTTCAGTCTTAAAGAGCGTGTTGACTTGGCTTGCATGAAGATAGACACTTCACAAGATAATTCCTACCGACTGGGGGAATATGCTCTTCAGATTCTCGGATATACCCAGGACATCTTGGTTGCAGTGAATAAGCTTTCCACTGTTCCTCCTACCACTTGTGCCGATGATGCCAAAAAGGGGGAAAAGAGAAAAAATGACGACAAGGATAAGGATGATGATCATCCGAGAGATAACACGAAAGAACGGTCTCCAAGAGAAACTCCAAAAGAACGACATTCTCCTTCTCGGACACCAAGAGATTCTGGTCAAAGAAACACAAAACCGTCACATCCACCATCCAAGTACCGTGGACACCATTCCTCACAGCCAAGATATCATGGACAATATCAATCCAGATCACTCAAGCCTCGCCAATCTTTTAGTTCTGAAGCCAAATACATCTTCGCAGGTCTCTCCAAGAGAGAAAAGACGAACTTGAGGCAGAAACTCATGAAGAACAACAAAGTGACTATGGATGGCATAGGAAACTTCGTGGACTTTGTACCCTATGAAGAAGGAAGTGGTAAACGTTTTGAGGGTTGCAACGTTCCTATCTGGCTCAAGACAAAGGACAATCATACAAGGCAAGATCACATAAGCACTCAAAACGAAAGGATCAAAAGAGAAAACAGAGAGCTATGGAAGAAACATGAAGAAGAAGTCAAAAGAAGAGAGGATGAATCAAAGGAAAGAGAAAGAATAAAGAAGCTAATTGAAGACCTTTCAAATGTGACCAAAGACTCTCCACAAGGTGTCATTCATAATGCAGCTTTCAAAGTGCACACTGAGTCGGGAAAAAGTTATCAAGAAGGAATGAACTCGTTTGAACTGATTTCGTGGTGGAAAGCTGGAATAGTCGAAGGAAGAAACATTCGTGAAGCCTACAACAACTACACAAGTTTGAACATCAAAGGAAAAAATGAAGATCTTGTCAAGACAAATCCGATAAAGATCTTCAGAAAAAGGATTAATGAGGAAATCGACTTCACTAGAATGCTCAAACAACAAAAGGAAAGGGATGACCGTGAACATGAGGAAGCTGAACAACAGAAGTCAAAACTCTTGGAAATGTAAGATATCCTTTCGTTCTGCTTTCATTATAAAGTTTTTGTAATTTTCACCATCTTAATATGAAACTCTCATTGTCACACATCTCGTGTCACTTGTCTGACTTATTTGTCCTTGTCTTATTTGTTAATGCTTTCATCTAGAAAAGACTTGTACACTCTCAAGTATGGCTGCTTTTATAATAGAAAAATTCTTTATGAAACCATTATTAGCCTTATAAAAAGAGTATAGGTTTTGACATCATCAAAAAGGGGGAAATTGTTAGGAACCTTGTATTAGGATTTTGATGATACCAATGTAATGTAGAAAGTAGACCCCTAACTATTAGCTTTTTCGATCGCTACTTTCGTCCTAGACGAGAGTTGCCATAACTCCCCTGTATTTCGTGTTAAGCTAGACAAACACACGAAAATGAGTTATGTCTAGTTGATAGGGTCTCCAAAACGAAAGAAGACACAATGCATGATAAACAGCAACGAGAATTAATCAGGAGTTGTCAACTACCTCGAAAGGAAAGATTTATTAAAGACGATTCTCACCAAGCATTCTTTCTCTTCAACAACGAGAAGAATGTTTTTGTCTGTCTGATTTGACAACATCCTAGGAACATAAGGACCTCATCTTGTGAAACACGTTTACCAAGAAGCATTAAATGAAGATGTACCATCTCCTGTAGCTAAAAGACAAAACCCTAATGTTCTCCATATCTTCAACGGCTACATGGTACAACCTCATTAATGAAGCATTTAATGCATGAAGCTCCCCGGTCCTTATCCACTGGATAAAAGGTTCGAAAATTTCATCTCCCTCCAACGGATGAATTTTCATCACCTATATAAACCCACCTTCATCAACTAAGAAGGTGCTGGTTTTCATTCACTCGATCATTATATGCAAAAGCTCTTAAACGCTCTCAACTCTCTCAAGCTTTTGTGAACCAGTGTTAAGGTGCTAAGATATTTGAAAAAGTTCATTGATCATCATCTTACACCTTAAAGAAGTCTTGCCATTTGTACGAAGCAATCATCTCACACAGTCTAGACTTCATCAAGTTGGAGAAATCAGAAATCATTTTCTACCAACCTCAACTCTGAAGAAGAAGTTGATAGAGGCGGAGTAAACTCGAGAAGTTGAAAAACCTACGAAGGATGTCCGGCTTAGTGATCAAGGAAGTCTTTGTGTAATTGTACTAACGAATGATAGTGCAATCCTTCCATAAGTTGTGGAAGAAGAGTAGAGTAGGCAACGTTAGCCGAACCACTATAAAATCTCTCGTCTCTTTGTCTCTTTACATACGCATTTCATTTTTGCATCATATTATCCTCATCATCATTACCGAAAGTTTTCTTTACAACGAAAACTCGTGCAAAGCAAATAATCGAATTTGACACTTCCGCTGCGCCAAAACATCGAAAGGTGGTTTTTAGGGCAAAACACGAAAAGAGTCTATTCACCCCCCCCCCCCTCCCCCTCTAGACTCTCACTACACTCTATCGGGACCAACAGATATAGGTGTGGCATAGCACCTCCGTGTTTAGACGTTGCTTCCGCTGTTTAATGATTAATGTTTAGTTTTATGTCTCTTGTTTAAGCTTTTAAATTTTGGTAAAAATCGGGGGTGTTACAGTTGGTATCAGAGCCTAGGTTTGAGCCTAGGATGTTAAGAGTTCGACTTTAAGAACCTAGATTGGAACCTATGTTAATGCTTTCAAGCGTAAGACCTTAGGAAGTTAAGCTCGGAACCTAAGTGATGTTTAAGTACCTAAGTCTTAGGAACCTTAGGATGCGCGGTGAGGTTGTGAGTTCTCTTATCGTTTTCTGTTGTGCTTCCTGTGCTTTGTTCTTCCTTCAGCTTTAAGTTCTTTTAAGTTAAGGCACCGGGTAAGGGTGCGGGCTTCTAAGTTTCCTCCCGTTATCGTGTTGTTTCTGTAGAAGTAGAGGATGGACCCATAGAGACGTCGTGCAAGGTCTTCAGATGCAGCCACCAACGATCAGCTAGTTCAAAGCCTGCATCAGCTGACGCAAATCACCCAGACGCTGAGCAACGCCCTCATCAACAACAGCCACCCTCCTTAGAATGGGAATTGGGACGTAGCACGCCTAGTCTCAAGTCTCCGTCCCCCGATCTTCGCCAGTGAAGAAGATCCCGCGGTGCTGGAAGAGTGGATCCGGATGTTTGACAAGATATTCGAAACAGTGGTTGCCCGGAGGATCGCAAAGTAGAGTTGGCTAGTTTCTACCTTAGGCAAGAAGCGGACTTGTGGTGGATGCTTGAAAGACCAGCTTGTAGACAAGATCCGGAGTTCAGTTGGGAAAGCTTGAAGGATAAGCTACGTGAGCGGTTCTATCCCGCTCATGTCAAGGCAGAAAAGTACGAGGAGTTTCTCCACCTTAAGCAAGTACCCTTGTCGGTGATGGAGTACCACAAGAATTTTTTGGAGTTATTATGTTATTATTATATTATTTTAATAGTTCAACTACATTATGGTTATATTTCTCTTTATCATAATAATAGGTGTCGATACGAATTGTTGTATTACAACAGAGGATGACCAACGCTCGTCAAAACACAATTATGTCCAACCTCTACAACACGTTAGAAATATGATTTCAGAATTTGAAGAGGTTGTTCAACCTATAAATTTGGGAACCGTGGCAAACATTGGTCCGTTGACAGACATTAAATGAGTAACTTTTTTTAATTAATATGTACTCAAACTAAATTCAGTTGTATTAATATTTTGCAATTTATGTTTAGTTACAGTTGAGTACCTAGACTTTGGTGATCCAGAATATGTATGCGAGTACTGTAATGCAATTTTTTGGGGAACTGAACGGTCAACTACATCAAAACCAAACGCTGCCCCAAAGTACTCAACCTGCTGTGTGAATGGAAAAATAAAGTTACCGTTGATGATAAAGCCACCTAATAAGTAGGGGTGACCGCGGTTCCAGTTTCGGTTCGATTCCGGTTCGGAACTGCCGGTTCCTATTCCGCAAATGGACAAACCGGAACCGGAACCGGAACCTTATAGTAAGGTTCCGATTCAGAACCGTGGGTTCCGGTTGGAACCGCCGGTTCTAACTGGATTTATTTTTTTAAAAAATAATAAGCTATAGTTTTTAATTTATTCCGGTTTGGAACCGAACTGCCGGTTCTGGTTCCTTGTCATCTCGAACCTTAACCAGAACCATATTGGTTCCGATTCTGATTCAACAGTGCGCAATTCGAACCGAACCGTGA